GTAGCAGCGTCTGCGGCTGGGCTGATGGCCGAGGCTGGGCTGGCGAGGAGGCCTGTACTGGTGGGGCAGCTTGTACGGGTGCCGGGAGAGCGGTGTTCAGCACAGCAGCTGCTATGGAGCAAGGCAGAGACAGACGTGCTCAAATGCCTAGCCACAGCCAAGAGCGGCTCCAATCCCAAGGGATCTGGCCCAAGGATGAGAAGGGGTTGGGCAGTGGGCACAGGGGGCAGGCAGCCGCAATTCCCTCGATCCTTGAAGGTCAGCACAAGCCAACGTATCTCATCCCCCCTCCCTTGGGCCAGGAGATGTGTAGGTTCAAGAACCAGACGTTGAATCTTCATCAGTCCTTCTCAGGAGGCTGGTCATGGGGAGCATTCTGGTGTAGGGGAGGGGGCAGTCTCAGATAGCCGGCTGAAGTAAGAAAGGCCTGCTGGGCCTACAGTCCCAAGGCGGTGCGGTGGCTCTGTGGCTGCGTGCCTGGGACACCGGATCCAGACTCCAGAGCTATTGCCCTGGTGGGCCGCAGGTTCTGAGTCCAACGTGGCAAACACACGTGCAGGGGTGGTAGTATAGGGTGATGGGGGGCCTGGTGCAGTCCTGGGGAGAGTTGCCGTTACCTTGGAGACCGGCTAAAGGTGGCTTGAAAATTCCCCCCGTGGGAGAAGCAGCGGTCAGTCCTGGGAGGGCAGCCACGGTTGCTGTAGGAATTGTCCACACGGCCAGCCCCTGCTGACCAGCCACTTGACCTGCAATACTGATGGGGATAAGAAGAGGTTGAGTAACTGCCCCTGCTGGAACCATAACTCCTGTCAGAACTGTGGCTAAGTTTTCCTGAGTCAAGACCTGCAAAAGCAAACAAGATTTCAAAAAGAAAAGAAAAAATAAAAAAATCAACATCGACAGCGCAAACACTGGGTCTCTTTCTTAGCCCCAGTTGAGCACACACAAAGCATTCTGAGGGCAGTGGGGAAATGGCTACTAGCTGGAGGCCCAACCCTGAGGGGTATCTGGACTGGACTATCCTGCCTTCAGAGAAGATACCCTGCTCACAGGACGGGAAAGGTGCACGGGCCTGTGCGACCTCAATCTGCTGCCTCCCGTGCCTTCCTGGGCCCTTGCTCCACAGGACCAGTGGTTTGTGGCCAGAGGACAGAGGCTAGTGGAACCAAGTGGCCAAGGGCCTCCAGAGGCAGTCAGGAAGCTCTGACAGAAAATACCCTTGCTGGGTGCGGAGATCAGTGAGTGCAGGGAAGCCCACAGAGTCTCCACATGCCTGTAGGCATGGAGCAGCCCCTCATTGTGCTAGGGTGGCTCCAAATAAGGACTCCTCATTAACCCTCCCAGGCATCCACTGGAGGGCTGATGAGAGCATTTACTCATTTAGTTATTAGATGAGCAGACACTCTGGTGGCATGAAAGAGTTCATGTAATTTCTGCAATCCTAGCTCGACCCAAGGAAATTATCTAGCAAACACAGATTCTCTTTTACAAATGGGCCCAATTGAGGGAGGGGAGATGCTAGGGGTATTAATAGGCTATTCCTTCTCTCTGGCCACATCCCCTTTTCTATCCTGTCTCATGAAGTTTCCAGACCCCATGCTGGCTGTCCATGCTTCACTCTGGTCCACCACCCTCTGTCCAGCTCCCAAGGGTGGCCCTTACCTGGGGGGCAGCTTGTACAGCTAGTGGCGTCAGAGTCTGCGATGTCTGAGGCTGGCTTGGAGCTTGGCTGAAGGTAGCAATGGTGGGTGCAGGACTCGGAGGGATCCCCGGGAGTGACTTCACTTCACAGCATTGAGAGAAAGAAGAACAAGAGTGAGCCTGACGTGAGTGGAGTCACTGGAGTAAAATACCTTGTCTGCAGCCTGACATGGTAACTCTTGGCCCCACACTGAATTTCTGCATAACCACGGACCAATTGTTGGCCTTTTCTGGTCCTTGAGGCAGCTTCCCAGATGAAACTGGCAGAGTACAAGAGACTGGAGAGCCCTGCGCCAGATCTGGAAGGTAAGCTCCTTCTCACAACTCGCAGAAAATGTAGGCCTATCTGTGGCCAGGAACCAGCCCCTCATGTCCTGGCCCCATAGGACACTATGACCTGTCACATAATTGGCAGAGGGGCCTGCAGCAAACATACATCAGGCAGGGAAGGAGCTGGGATGGACTGGAGCAGCTATCTGACTCATCCAGCAACAGAAACATGGCTCACCCCACCTTAGGCCTACTTTTTGGATGGAGGTGCTGGCTTGGAGAAAGGATAGAGGTCCCTGCAAGACAAAGTCCTAGCAGCAACAGTCCCTGAAAGTTAGATGTGTCTTTACCACACTGTAGAATCACTGGGTTCTCCAGGTAACGAGCTTTTCTCTGCATTTCCTGAGGTCAAAAGTCAAGATGAACAGCTTCTAGGAAAATTTTTTTTTTTTAGTTTAGTTTGTTTGTTTTTTGCTATAGGGCGCATGCGCTTGCCAGACAGAGAGAGATAGAGAGACAGAAAGCGAGAAATCACCCCCCAGGGGGGATGGCCACACCTCAATCCCTTCTCCTCCATTCTCCCTCGGGATCTTGGGTACGCATGCACACGCGCCCGGCGTGAGTTTAAGCCACTAGGTCTGGGACGCGAACCGCGGTTGACTACGTGGGAGTCCGGCGACATAGCCATTACGCTAACTGCTGGTCCCTAGGAAATTATTTTTTTCCCTAGGAAATTTTGAAGCAACTTTCAAAGGAACTTTCTGTGAGCTGGAGCTTTCTGCCTCCTCTTACTGCCTTGGCCTATTTAGGTATTGGTGTGTCCCCACCAGGAAACCTCTTCACAGTCACACAATGATAAGAAGGGTTATTATCTATTATATAGTGAGACATTACAGGGGGTCTAGGTATTGGGTGGTAGATGTTGAACTAGAATAGGGCTTCTTAACACAGCTGGAGAAAATGTAATAAAATAGAACAAGGAAAGTGAGAAAATGAGGATGTAACAAAGATAAATGATAAAAGTTTTCCATCTAAAAAAGCAAAATAATCATTTTATTAGGGTATATTTTCAAAGCAGGGCTAGGGAGTTCAAGGACTTACATACATTTAGGGCTTTTGTTGTTTCCTGCTATACTGTTTTACAGAAAGATTAAGCCAATCCACAGAAATATCAATAATGCACCTGTTTCTCCACAGCACCACCCAGTTTAGGTTTTATCACTGTTTGTTTAATTTCTGGCTCAACGGGCATGTGTTACCTTAAAATCAATTACACTTCTTCTCATTGACAGCTCGACTATATTTTTCCATGTGATGGCTTCCGCTCATGTTAACAATTAATGTTAGTGGACTATGCCACAAAGAAAAAAATATTTAGGAACCAGAAGACGGCATAATGGTTACCTTGCTAGACTCTCACATAGCCAATTGCAGTTCAAGTCCTGGACCTGGAGGCATGAAACATACTGAGAGCGCAAGATGTGTGTGTGTGTGTGTGTGTGTGTGTGTGTGTGTGTGTGTTTGTGTGTGTCCAAAACCTCAAGAGGAGACTGGAGGAGAAGGGATTGCTTCATGGTCATTCCTCCAGAGGGTGATTTCTCACTTTCTGTCTCTTTGTCTCTCTCTTGTCTCTCCAGCAAGCACACACAAAAATCTCTAAGAAAACTAAAAGATAAAAGAAAAATATGTTCTAAGGCTCACTACAAAGATATTTAGAGCAGTACTGTTTATGAGAATGAAAAACCCACAATTTGACAACAGCCACAACCAGAAGCAAGTGTGTGACTCTGTGTCAAGAAAGGAAAGGGGTATATAAAATAATAAGTATGGTGGTGTGGCCAGCAGGTGGCGTGGTGGTTAAGATGCTGGACTCCTACATGGCTGACATGGTTTGAGTCGTGGACCTGGCAGCTTGCTTTCTTACTTTCTTTTTCTCTCTCTGGTCAAATTAAAATAAATAATAATAAAGCAATATGGTGGTAAGTGTCATACTACAATATATAGACTACTCTCAGCAGCTAGAGCTGTAAAAATAGGTATGTGTGACAAGAACTGGATAGTAATTAGAGTGACACAAATCAATAGATTCTTTTTTTCTTTCTTTTTTTTTTTTTTGGAGAGGTTTTTGCCATAGGGCGCGTGCACTCGCCAGACAGACAGAGACAGAGAGACAGAAAGCGAGAAATCACCCCAGGGGGAATGGCCATGCCGCAATCCCTTCTCTTCCATTCTCCTCTCGGGATCTTGGGCACGCATGCACACGTGCCCGGCATGAGTTTTAAGCCACTGGGTCCGGGACGAGAACTGTGGTTGAAATACATGGGAGTCCCACGACATAGCCATTACGCTAACTGCTGGTCCCAATAGATTCTTCTTTTTATCCTGAACAAGTTTCCTGTTACTTAGTTTTGTTTTGATATTGCATACCTAGAAAGGCCCCATCAGTCTAAGCTGGCAGTTTGCTGTGTGGTGTCTCGCTTACCTGCTTGATGATGACTAGAATTCCTTCACTGAGAAGGAGCCTTTCATGAAAGGCTTAAAGATGCAGACTTCTGGAAGAGGATGAACACTACCATAAACACTCGAGCTAAGGTGTAAACAACTGATATAAGATCCATTTCTGGGGTTTTGATAGGAGCAGAATTAAGGCACCAGAAGAAATGAGATATGGAAGATGGATAAATGGGTGAAAAGGGAAGTTGGGGCACTGTGATAACCCTGAGAAACCTCCTGAATTTTCCAGAAAGAGCCTCCTCCCCACAACTATGCTGCATAAAAAGGATGGCAGAGAAGTGTCCCTATCCTCCCTGCCTGCTCTCTAGTTCACTGGCCCTGGAAGCAGGGGGTACCCATCCTGGCCTCAACATGGAAGCCCAGCATTTTCAGCCTAGGGAAA